TTTTTTAATTATAAGTTTACCTTTGAATTCGTTTACAAGAACCACGAAGTCCAAGAGACATTTCGAACATTTGTAGGACAGCTGAAATTTACGCCGATGTGGCTCTCACAATTTTGCCATAAAATTGCGCACAAATTCAGGACTGAAAGGGATGTCTGAGTTGAATGTATCTTTACTTTTCTTAGTTTCCCCACTTTATCTGTTTCTCAAAGCCCCATGTGTCAATGCACTAAACTGCGTGGAAAGATGAAACAGTTAATAGTATTCAATCATGGTAGTTATGGTCTATTATTCACGAATAAATCAATCTTTATGGAAATAGTGAAGATGAGCGTAGCAATATTAAATACTGATTAACTATTAACGGCCTTTCCCTCCGAAGGCTTAGCGTTACAATCTATGCAGCAATTTTCAAGGAACTCAGTTCTATGAAGGACTCACGTTAATATGGGCTGGAATGCTTCTATATTGATTGGTAGTCCTAAGAAAATTGTTGTAAAAATTCAAGAAAGAAATTGTAAATTAAATGCAAAAATATAACAGTAACATAGAGTTGTCTGGACGCACGCGAAACCAATGACGTAAGAAGAACTCGAAAAATCTTACTAGTTATCATCCTAGCAGGAGAACTACCCTCTTTTATGTCTATTTTTACAAATCAATATCATGAGTTTCGGCTGTGGCATATGTTCAAACTGTTAAAAAATGTTGATCTGAGAGAATCCGCATTGTTACAACTCATCAATAGAACAGAGCATACTCTTAAGAATGATTCTCAACAAATGCTTGATGTGTACATAACGTGATTCTCTTCGTCTTTCTAATAACAAAAGCCTGAGTGATGGTTGAGAGTGCGTCAGCGCTATTCGTTCGCCTATCGCAGCACACATCACATGGATACGCACTCCCGAGTTATTAGAAATGATTTCGTCAATGCATAACATATTATCAATTATTTATTATCCAGAGAAGCATAACTCTGAAAGAAAATAAAGAGAGACAGATTATAGAAATTTAATCCGAGAGGATATTCAGAAGAACCTTGATGGAAATGAAAAAGGGATGATTTCTGTGAAAGGCAATAACAGAAAGGTCCCATAACCAACAAAAATTTGTTAATTCTTTTAATTGTAGAAAAAATAAGTAGCAAAGAGCATGAGGTAGGTTGGGAGAGGGTTCCCAAAATAACAAAACTGTTCAAAGGAAACCAGTGAATATGCATAAATACAATGAAGACATAATTGTGGACTAGCTCAACAGTCCTATCCGAACGGAACTAAACAGACAATTATTAGTGTTCTTATGAACCAAACATGGCGGTGTTTTCGTCGATTTTTTCGAACTGGTAAGAACCGCGGCCATCCATATGTAGGAAATATTCATGATGAACCCATAATGATTTACGGTGCGAGACCGTAAAAAGAGTAATGCCCATCTTGCGGCAGATTTTGTACATAGCGCCTGAAGAACTTGAATTGGGACAGGGGATGGTGGAAACAGCAGATGACTAACTGACCTTCGACATCTACGCTGACCGCTGAAGTGCATTCGTCGAGAATTGCGAATTGTGGCCTGTGATAGAACAGACGAGCCATCTGAAAATGGTCGTAATACAGATGGCTGCCAAAGGTCAGCTATGGACTTTTCTACCAGATAGGCGTTTCAGAGCGTGTTAACCTTATAGTATCGTTCAGCTTGGAAAAATGGAAAATAAAGGATGATTTCATATTGTGTAACAGTTCAAACAATGTTATAATGTGATAACCATATCTTTGCCTTAACCTGGACTGACTCTCCAAAGAACAACTTTCAAAAATTCGAAATGTTTTTTCTTGAACCTATATCTGTGCTTTTGATTTTGGCTCTTGTTATCAAAGCATTTTTTTGCTTTCATAAAGAAAGCTAAGGAAGGTTTAAATTCGATTTCAACGTGTGATACTTACAGCAACTCTCTGCTTCTCACCGCCTGACAGCACATCCATCCAATCCTGTACAGCATTCCATCCCCCTTCTCGTGTGAGTATATGGGAAAGTTGAACCTGTAATTATTAAAATCAAACGCAGGAATTATGGGAAGCTCTTCATACTTTAATATATTTATCAAAGGGTAGAACATGTGTAAGAATGAGCCCGGTTTCAATAGCTTGACGGGAAGATTAGGAAAAATTTACCAACTGAATAAAACCAAGCAAGTTTCTTTGATGCATTACACAACTCGGATAGTCTTTTTAAATGAAGCAGCGCTTCACACTGTGGGAAGAAGCTAATAATATAGTCTTACGTGACCTCGTAATTGACTATGATATCTTAAAAAGCAGATAAAATCAAAGCATCCGATTACGCCTAATGAGGCATTGAGCAATCATGCTCAGGGCTATGCGTCCGGTTTTTCGTTGTCCAGACCCATACTCATTTTGAACCTTTTTTGAAAGTTTGGGAAATGGATCCAGGTAAAAGTAACTTATGTAATTGATAGAATTATTGATAATTTCATTCAATAAAACCTAAGGGCACATGACTGAAACGGCAACCAGAAGGATTTCAAAAAAATGGGTCCAGATAAGGAAAAAGGACCATGTTATTTGAATCTCTCAGAGTTGCCATACAGTATACCCTTATCCTTCCTTAACTTTTTTCTAGCAGTTGAACGATACTAAACATATTCTTAGTCACGATACAATTGTATATAACAATTTAATTATTCTATTGTTTTGTTCGTTTTTTCTCGGGGTATCAAAGCAGAATTTTGAGCATTTTCTGTATGTTGAAAGTGCAAAAACAACAATATAAATGAGTTGCGCCTGAAACACCTCAGATAGATAAGTGCAGGAAGGTTCAGGATGGGCTAGATTGAAAAATAGCAAGATTCTACTTACATGTGCTAACATCTCTTCAAGGTCGTTGTCTGTATAGCCTTTTTTCAACATATCCATAGGTCGATCTGGATAGATCACTTGATCTCTCAATGTTCCCAAAGTCATATATGGTCGCTGTAACAGCACAAATGAGAAAGTTCTTCTTTTTGAAAAAGCTAGCTTTGCACAAATTCAAATCAAATTCAAAACTCTGACTTACTGGACAGTTGTGATTACCTGAGGAACGTAGAATAATTTTCCTTTTGCCGGTTTAGTAAGTCTTCCACCGAATAAAGGCCAAAGTTCTCCTAAAACACGGAACAGCGAACTTTTTCCGCATCCATTTGGACCACACACTAGCACATTTGTTCCTGATGGGACCTAAAATTTCAGAAACCAGTATAGTTTTCTATAACGCATGAGAATGACATGACATCTAACCACGAGATTGAGATCATCTATGAGAACGTCACCATTAGGAGTGACGAGCGGAACGTGCTCGAATCGTATCACATTATCTTGAACGA